TTTTTTTTTCAAGCGAGGAGGAGTAAGGATCCCTGCGGGTTTTGGAGGCCGTCGGGATTCCTGCCACCCTGCCCGGCCCCCCACCCGTGGGACTTTGCCCTCCCTGCCCTTCTGGCGTGTGGGCCCCTGCAGAGTTTTGCAGCTCAGGCCTGAGGCGCTACGGAGACAGGGAGGGCTAGATAGTTGAAGGAGCTTTGGAGGCAGAAATAGGTCCTACGAACGAGCTAACAGCCTCCCCTGCACCGCTCCCTCGGTTGCTGTAGGATGTCTTCTGAACGCGGCACCTCTGAAACTGCCTCCTTCCTGGGGAGAAGAGGCCCTGTCCCACCACCGCTGCTGTTGCTCGGCCCTCGCAGGGCTCAGCCCGGTGCCTTCACCAGGTGTTTCTGATGGTGAAGTGGTTTTGTGCAGTGTTACATAGCTGGCAGTTGTGGTACTGAGCCAGAGAAGAAAGGCATCCCTCTTACTGCTTCACGTGTACACTGCTGTGCTGCGTTTCCCTTAAAATTTGGGATAGATGGAATGGTGGATAGTTATTACGTTACTGTTACGTGCAAAATACCTTTACGCTGGAGACAGAGGGGATTTTTTTTATACAGCTGCTAGGCCAGAGATCAATGAAAGGGCTCTAGTGTTGAATACTTAAAAAAACCCCCAAAAATACACATGGGAACAGGAGACACTCGTAACTTGTTTTTAGTTATCGGTAAGAAGAAGCTTTTAAAAAATGGTGATGACATTTAAATTTTAAAAGTTAACACCAGTTGATAAAGTTTGAGAACAACCTATAACTGACAGTAGGATAACTTTAGTTCTATCTTTATATTTTCAGAAGAACTAAATATCACAGGATTGAGGGTCTTCAACAGATCTAGGTCACAGAAAAAAAAAGAAGGGAATGTGGTTTTCCTTATGGTTATGAAGAATTAATAAAACAACCCCCCCAAACTGGAAAGCAAGATGTATTTCTAGATACACAGCTTATTTATAAAGATACCAAGGCAAAGCTTAGCCTAGCAGGTGCGTAGGGACAAAGACATTATCAAGAGTCTCCAGAGTAACTCAATTGTTTAATATCCCAGTGGCTGTGATGCTTTATAGTTGGCTTAACCAATACACCCTATTAATTTAGCTCTGAGGCCTCTTTGATAACAAATCCCATCAGTGAGATTTTTAAAATTCTGGATATAACATTAATGGAGATCATGGTTGCATACAATTCCCCTGAAATGGACAAAATGGTTACGAGAAATTGAAATATTAGAGCATCATGGGAATTGACACTACATTGTCTGCTCAGTATTGCACTAATTTTACCCTTGCTAATTTTAACTCTGGAAATGGAAAAGGCCTGAAGATTTATGAGAGGAAACTCTTAAAGAGGTGCATGATTAAAAGATGTTGCAAGAGTTTGGGTCCTATTCCTGGCGTACAAGGCAAATTGACTTTTGTGCAAACACTGGGCCCAACTGAAATTTTTGAGGATCTATATAAATGTCAGTCTCTGCTATAAGTCTCAGAAACTAGAGTTAGCAAATCTGTATTCTTAGATTCTGAAGACCAAAATGATCTAATATAATGGGGACAAAATATTGTAGGCAGGAATATTGAATTCCCTGACAATGAAAAATCTTTCTTAGTTTTGTCTATTATTTCAAGCTATCTCCATGCAGAGTGGCTTGTAAAGCAGAGACTAACTGAACTTTTTGATGCTCCAATAACATTGTCCATGCAAATTGGTCACAGAGAAAAAAAATATTTGGAAAATATATGTGTCTTCCTTTAACAGATCTCTTACTGCTTTTGTAATGGGAAACTTGATTAGATTATTAAAGAATTGTGCATATTACATCTTTACTTTTGCATAATATATATATAAAAAGGCATTATTATATAGTAATGTGGTGAATATCTCTGTTATCTTTGAACCGAAGGCAGATGGTTCCTGCTACCTCAGAGGTTCTCACTCATGTTCTGTCATTGCAATTACAAAATAATTGCAATAATCCCAAATAAAGAAATCTTAAGCTAATGTTCCCAAATAAAGTGGTGGCATGATTGATAATGGAATGGACTACCAAAGGAATGAAGTACAATGATCTTCATTTATCATGGTGTACTGGGTCTGGCTGAGCTGGAGTTGATTTTCCGCTATAGCAGCCCTCATGGTGCTGTATTTTATTTTGGGAGCTGGTAGGCTGTTGATAGCACCCTGGTGTTGTGGCTACTGCTGAGGGGTGCTGTCCTGATCCAGTATCGGGTTCTTAAGCGATCCCAAGAACGAGATTAAGACGCAAATGAGGTCAGATGCCATACAACGTTGTGAACATTATTTGGTATACAACTGCTAATAGCGATAGGACAGAGGGGAAAAGGAAGGAAAAGTCAGAATCCCTAAGCAAGAAAAACAGCAGAGATGCAGCAAGACTAGTTACCACCACCACGAATCCAGCGATGTACTGTTGATTCGATCCTGGTGCAGACGATAGTGCTCCAAGCTTGAGAAGAGATGTATATCCAGAGAGAGAAGTACGCAGTCCTTTTGTTGTCCCAGATTCCTCCAAAAAGTCCGCCCATTTCTACGGGGCTCATTATCTCATGGTCCTCCATGTGTGCACGCCGCTGTGTTCATGGTGGTCATGCCAGCCTGCATGTCTTCTTTGTCCCAATTTAACTTCAGGCGGATGTCGTGGTTTCATCTAGACAGTTCTTCTCCTGAGCATACTTCTCCCTGACCACGGGACACCGAGGCCAGGAAATGGTGGTGGTGCGATAGCAATATTGAGACAGACAAATAGTCAAAAAAGTCCCTTACAGGTGCTTACACAACACCAAGGCTCTTTCCAAGATTCCACCCCCCCCACCCCCCCCCACTGGGATGG